TTAGGACAAGGGGGAATGGCTTCACACTGCCAGATGGCAGGGTTGGATGGAATATTGGGAAGGAATTCTTCCCTGTGAGGGTGCTCAGGCACTGGCACAGGTTGCCCAGAGAAACTGTGGCTGCCTCATCCCTGGGAGTGTTCAAGGCTGGGTTGGATGGAGCTTGGAGCAACCTTGGCCAGTGGAATGTGTCCCTGCTGAGTTCAGGGCATGTTTTAACCACCAATAATTCCATCAGTTCCAAGAAAAGAGGAAAAAGAGCTGTTTGGCCATGATTAAAAGTTGTTCCCTGCCTTTTATAACATTTTAATTTAAGGATTTCTCCAGCCATTGTGTTTGGAGCAGAAATGCAAACTTGGAGAAGAGCTGCTGAAGTTTTATGAATATCCATTCTCCAGCCAGGAGCCTGGGCATGCAGATCCTGGCTAAGGGCTGTGCTGGGTGGGATTTAGCCCAAGCCAAGCCCCACAGGGGTGGGCTGCCCTCCACTGCTGTGAAGCTCTGCAAAGGGCATCCCCAGAGACCTGCCTGCTGCTGGGGCTGCCTGGTAATATTTACAGCATGTTTCTTTGTTTTTAATTCCTCAGTTGATTCCCTGGTAACATTCATCCCAGTCAGGCCAACATGGCAGAAAACTGGGGAGGAAAATGCTCCAAGCTTTCCCATAGCACACCTAAGGTGCAAATGTACCTCCCGTGCTCCTCTCACCTGGGAAACTGCTGGGAAAATCACTGCAGAAAAGTCAGAAATAGGGAAGAATCAAAAAAGAAATCCTTACCTACTGCATCAGGGATGAAGAAGTTGTAGCCCAAGAGGCTGTAGTGCAGCACTGAGGGGATCAGTCCCTTCAGCCCCGCGTGGCTCCAGTCGGAGAGCCGTGGGCTCATTTGGATGAAGAGTGGAAGGTGACTGGATCTGGGGAAAGAACACAAACTCTTGGAGGTGCTTCCAAAATTCCTTGCTGCCTGGCTGGCTTGGCAGTCTCTGAGGTCAGATAGAGAATCACACAATGGTTTGGGTTGGAAGGAACCTTAAAGCCCATCCAATTCCACCCTCCATGGGCAGGGCACCTTCCACTAGCGCAGGTTGCTCCAAGGCCCATCCAACACTTCCAGGATGGGGCAGCCACAGCTTCTCTGGACAACCCATGCCAGTGCCTCACCACCCTCAGATCCCACAAGGATCACCCATTCCAACATGTTGCCCTAGACCACCTCCACCTGTCCCACCTGGCACCCACCTGGCCCCGGCGCTGATGACAGTGGCATTGCCCAGTGTGGCCAGTGCCTCTGCCAGTGCCGTGGTGTATCGGTCACCCTCCAGCTCAGAGGGAGGTGGGACATCCTGCTCCAGGAAGGAGTTACCCTCAGCTCCCTCAAAGACCACATATGCAGCCCCCAGATCTTGCTGCAGGCGCTGGGCACGTGCCAGGTACCAGCTCAGTGCTGCCTCACTGGTGACGTTCAGACGGGCACAGAGCTGCTCCTTCCAGGTGGTCAGCAGTGGGACCTGCAAATTGTGGTAGAAATCTCAGTCAGATCCATAAAACATCCTGATAATTCCTGGGTGTGAGGATGTGGAATGCCACTCTGCCTGCAATCTGCCCTACCGCACCTTGCACTGTTGCTGTGCAGCACATGAAGGTCTAAATCCTCCCTCCACACCCCCCAAAACCCCTGAGTCGGTCTGGATTTGGGGGATTTTCTGAACACTGGCAATTTTTAAAATAACTTTTGGAAGTGGGAATTTGACAGCTGCTTCCGGAGGATCCAGGAGAGAAGCTGCTGCCCCCTGCACCGCTGTGCCCCAGCACAGGAGGATCACGCTGTGCCCCCCTGAGGGGGTTTATTTCCATTTTGGGGTTGAGGGGGGGTCACATACCGAGCTGCCCCAAGGTTGAGGCTGGCGGCTCAGCCAGTATCCCGCGGTCTCGCTGTTGCGCAGGGAGCGCAGGAAGAGTTGGGAGGCAACGCTGGCGTACGGGGACAGAGTGATGGAGAGCTCCAGGGGTTCCACCAGGGCCACCTCATGCCTCTTTGTCTGCTTCGAGGACACTTGGTCCTGTGGGAGGGAAAGGCAGGAAAAGACGGTTTGTGGAGCAGAAACACCAAGCTTCCCATGTGCCTTTGGAGCCTGGAGGGTGGCGGGATGGCCGTACCGCTGCAGAGAGGATGGTGGTGCTTTGCTCCCCCAGGGCCAGCACCCCCTCCTGAAGGCGATGCCGCTTCAGCCTCCTCACCAGTGACCTCAAACCTCTCTTGATTCTGGAAGCAGAACCTTCTGGGCCACGATACCGCCAGATGGGAGACCTGTGGGGTGGAAAAAAACAGGGGGT